TTTCTGGTTTTGGTGCTATCATAAATGGAATCAATTCCCTAATTTCTCTTTCTGCAGTTTCATTATTAGTGTATAAGAAAGCAACTGATTTCTGTGCATTGATTTTGTATCCTGCCACATTACGGAATTGCTGTAAGAATTCTGGCAATTTGGGGATGGAGTCTTTTGGGTTTTCCACATAAATTATCATGTCATCTGTGAAGAGAGAGAGATTGACTTCTTCTTTGCCAATATGAATACCTTTTATTTCTTTTTGTTGTCTGACTGCTGTTGCTAGGACTTCTAGTACTATGTTGAACAATAGTGGCAAGCGTGGACATGCTTGTCATGTTTCTGATCTTAAGGGAAAGGCTCTCAGCTTTTCCCCATTGAGAATGATCTTCACTATAGATTCTTCATAGGTGGATTTTATGAAGTTGAGGAATGTTCCCTCTATCCCTATACTCTTCAGAGTTTTAATTAGGAAAGGGTGCTATATTTTGTCAAATGCCTTTTCTGCATCAATTGAGAGGACCATGTGGTTCTTCTCTTATTAATTTGTTCTGTTACATTGATTTGTGAATGTTGAACCACCTTTGCATCCCAGGGATAAATTGCACCTCGTAGTGATGGATAATCTTTTCAATGTACTGTTGGATCCTTTTAGCTAGTATCTTGTTGAGAATCTTGGCATCTGTATTCATCAGGGATATTGGTCTGAAATTCTCCTTTTTGACAGACTCTGTGCCTGGTTTTGGGATCAAGGTAATGCTGGCCTCATAGAAAGAGTCTGGAAGTTTTTCTTCTGTTTCTATTTTTTGAAATATCTATTCTCCTGAAGCTATTATTTTCTTAGAATGTTTGGTAGAATTTCCCAGGGAATCCATCAGGTCCTGGACTCTTGTTTTTTGGGAGGTTTTTGATTACTGGTTCTATCTCATTACTGGTTATTGGTCCATTCAGGTTGTCAGTTTCTTCCTCTTTCAGTCATGGAAGTTTATAGGTTTCCAGAAATGCATCCATTTCTTCTAGGTTGTTTAACTTATTGGCATATAGCTCTTGATGATTTCTGATGATTGTTTCTATTTCCTTGGAATTAATCGTGATCTCACACCTTTCACTTATAATTTTATTATTTTGGGTCTTTTCTTTCTTTTGGATAAGTCTGGCCAGTGGTTTATTGATCTTATTAATTCTTTCAAAGAACCATCTTCTGGTTTCATTGATGTGTTCATTGATGTGTTCTGCTATATTTCTGGCTTCTAATTCATTGATCTCTGCTCTTAGCTTAATTATTTCTCTCCTCGTGCAGGACTTAGGCTTAATTTGCTCTTGATTCTCCAGTTCTTTAAGGTGTAAGGAGAGTTTGTATATTCGGGATTTTTCTATTTTTTTGAGTGAGGCTTCGATGGCTACGTATTTCCCCCTTAGGACCGCCTTTGCTGTATCCCATAGGTTTTGGACTGATGTGTTTTCATTCTCATTGGCTTCCATGAATTGTTTAAGTTCTTCTTTGATTTCCTGGTTGACCCAAACATTCTTGAGCAGGATGGTCTTTAGCTGCCAAGTGTTTGAATTTCTTCCAAACCTTTTCTTGTGATTGAGTTCCAGTTTCAAAGCATTGTGTTCTGAGAATATGCAAGGAATAATCTCTATCTTTTGATATCAGTTGAGACCTGATTTGTGACCCAGGATGTAGTCTCTTCAGGAGAAAATTCCATGTGCACTCGAGAAGAATGAGTATTCTGTTGTTTTAGGGTGGAATGTTCTGTATATATCTATGAGGTCCATCTGGTCCAATGTGTCATTCAATGCTCTTGTTTATTGATTTTCTGCTTGGATGATCTATTACTGAGAGTGGCACGTTAAGATCTCCTACTATTAATGTATTCATATTAATATGAATTTATCTTGATTAACCGTTTTCTTATGTAATTGGCTGCTCCCATGTTAGGGGCATAGATATTTACAATTGTTAGATCCTATCCTTGGATAGACCCTTGAAGAGTCCTTCTTCATCTCGTTACAGTCTTTGTTTTAAAATTCCTATTCTAAGATTTGGAAATTTCTCTAGTATTTAAAACTTAGCTTCAATGCCACTGCTATCACAAAGCTCTCCCTGAGTACCACCTTGTCTAGAAATTAACCCCATCCAGTTCCTTTCCCTTTATATTAAAATCACATTGCTCATCACATTCTGAATTATAGATATTTTTATCTTTTTCCAAACTTTTCCATTAGATTCTGAGTTACTGAGGGAAGAAACCTTTTAGATATCTGTGTATGCATCCCAATATCAGGGATATGCTTTGCATACAGTGCTACTTAAATATTTATTGAATTGAAATGAATTAACAGGTACAGTTTGATTATGTGGTTCTTAACTAATACTCTTCATGAAACAAGGAAGTAAAATTAAAGCACTTTAGCTAGAACTCCTAGATCTGCCATCTCCAGGCCAGAGCCATACCTATAAAGGGCTGACTTCAGGAGCAGCACACAAATCAAGTCTTAGGGCTTGTACCTTAGGGCTTGCAACATGACAGGTGACCAGACACCCCCAGGGAGTAGGTAGGTCAGGGAGATGGTTCCTAGCAACTGGGGTGCCAGGCTTGGAAACATGGTACAAAGCGGCCCTCCATCAGATACAAATACACATTATAAACAGAGCTGATCCCCGAACAGCACAACCATTCTGCCCCTACCAGTGACATAGATTTCTTCTTGACCATACTTCTGGCTGATGAAGTTCTTAATGATGTTGAAGACCAGCTACAAGTAGGTAGTCAGACTCTCAACTGGCTAAATACATGGAGTTATCATCCTAGGTGGATTAGTCATTGCAACTCAGGGAGCCATTAGTACTGATTCACTGGTTACAGTTGCTCTCCTCTAATTCTCTCTTGAGCCCATTTAAACACAGCTTTCACCCACCAACACTGTTCTTAGTGAGATCATCAGTGACCAGTGTGTTGCCGCTATGTTTAATTCTTAGTCCGTCCTCACCTTACTTGACCTGCCAGCAGCATGGACCCTGTTGATCCCTCCCTGTTCCTGGAGGGCTGCATTTGACTCCTGGCACAGGATGCCCTTGCAGCTTTTCTGGATGCTGCTGCTTTTCTTTGCGGGTTCTTCCTTTGCTTCCTGGGCTCTGAACTTTGTGGTCCCCTAACGTAAAGCACACGCCTCAGAACTCTTCCCTTTTCTATATTCATTTTCTTGGCGATGCCATCCAGTCTCATGCCTTCAGTACTGGCTACCTGCAGAAAAATTCCAACTTTATCTTCTCCAGCCAAAGATCCAACTGCTGTACAACGTCTCATGTAGGTGTCTGCTAGTTAACTAGCTCAGTCAGCATTCCAAAACTGCACTTCTGATCTCCCCACCCCCAACCTGCTCTTCTCACAGGCTCTCCATTTCAGTGAATCACAACAACCAAGTAGTTTTTCACCAGTAACTCTGGTGTCATCCTTCAGTCTTCTCTTTTCCTCAGACCATGTCCAGTCTGCCAGCAAATCTATTGACTGTACCTTCAAAATACATCCAGAATCTGACCATTTTTCACACACACCCCCCCACTGTTACTATCCTGAGCAAAATACAGAACTGTTCTGCTCTCTATGGACTATAACATACAGGGTTAATGTGTCAATCAGAGTTAAAAGTCTATATAAAGAACTTTTAACACAATGCTGAGCAAAATGTGCTCAATATATTTTTGTTTTTATTATTTCTGGTTTCAGACCAGATTTCAAGGAGATAGGACTAGTAAAATTGAAGCCCTTGGCTCCTTTTAATGCAACTGAATTTTCTTGTTCAACACATGCAATTTCAAGTTTTAAGATTTTAACAGAGTTGAATAAAGTAAGATGTGTTACTGAGCTTAGCTTCTTAGAAGGAAAAACAAAAAAATTTAACTTACCACAAACCTGTCCCAAGAGCCAAAGAAAGGGTTAAATAGTACAATGGCAATTTGAGTCATTGGAATCCTCTAGCCTGAGTAAGAGTAATTTTCAGATAATCTGACACCTTTAGCCTACAAAATATTTTTAAATCAAGGTTATAGGAGATTGTTACTTATGATATCACACAGCTGTGTATGGTTCTGACTTCGCAACCTGAAAGAACTTGGGGGACAGGAGCAAACTGGTTGACTATTTCTATAGCAACAGCTGGGTAATAGCCACCACTTGTATAAAACTGCCTCATACTGTTTACCTGTCGTCTCACTTCATTGGTCATCCCAACTAATTGTTAATAGGTAGAAAGTCTGGAAAAATCTTTAGCAGTAATATCTGAAATGTCAACAATATTAAAATAAGCCCGAATGGTATAGGAAGCATCTCAGATAAGGCATAAATTACACATATATATTTTGCTAATAAAAACCACTGTACTACAGAAGCAGAAAAATACTTTCATAGGATTTAGCTTGTCCCTTTTTAATGTCACTTTGGTAATATATGTAGTAAGGTTTTTGAATAGATAAAGTTCATCTAATTTCATTTTAATGTTTGTGGAAAATCACTTTCTTTACACTTATTTTTTCATTTTTTTTCTTTCAGTCTGTACAAATTGTGTGTGTGTGTGTGTGTGTGTGTGTGTGTGATCTACTATGTGCTGGATAATGAGAAAAAACGATGAATTGTTTTTATTACACTTTAGAATTGTAAAAATATAATCCTTTTGCATTTAAGAGCTAGGTTATAATGGCTTCGGATGTTTTAAGAAGGGGGAAATAACTCCAGTATGAAATCATCAGTTAACTGTGCTTAATTTGCTATTAGTTTTTCTTTGTCCAAATTTGATTATGTATTAAACTCTCTGGTCCTCTGATACATACATGATGTACACAACATAACAGAATTTTATTTCACATTAGATGTAAAAGAGTAAACTCCCATTGGGACCTGGGGCAGGATTATTTCAGCTAGTCCATATACATGTTATATGCTAATATTTATTTTTTATAGGATGTCCTGATAACACATTATATGCTAATTTTTGTTTATTTTTTGTAGGATGACCTGGCTGTGCAAAGTTGGAAGTCCTAGCTCTCGCATTGACCGCACGAACTTTTCTAATGAAAAATTCATTTCTAAACTTGACTACTCAGATTTTAGTATTCGATACTAATAGAAGAGAAATAAAAATTTTAATGCTTATAATGCACACTAGATATTCTTAAGTCTGTATTAGAATATTAATAGACTAAGTTCAAAAAGGAACTTTCTGTTCTGAAAGGTGCAACAGAATGTGTTACTAAAAATGTCTGACACAAAGTTTTACTCAACTATGTTTTTAAAAAGTAAAAACTTCGCATTACAAAACATTTAATATGAACATTTAAACTTGCTAATGGAATCTTTAAGTCTAATGAATGTTCTAGCAAACATGTTATTTGGCTAGGCTTAAAATAAAGCTAACCATTTAAGGATTATTTGTCTGAAATGAATTCTAAAACCTTCTGCATAATATTTCATTATTGAAGTTGAGTCATTTGTTTAAAATAAAGACCCAGTCATTAGATATAAATGTATGATGATTAGTATAACCATAAAGTCCTATCAATAAGGAATTAATTTTTAAAATCCTGGTTGAGGTTGGAGCTGCTTAATGCTTCCTATGAACTATATGGTTCTGTATAGTAAGCCGGATAAGACCCCACAATTACAGTATAACCAGCAGCAAGATTTGTGTCAACAGCTATCTACAATGAATGTCCTATTAACCAGAAAAGGAACTGAGAGTCTAAATAAATCATCCTGTCCTCTAACCTTGACCTATCATTTGGGGATTTTCATCTGTAAATGGTAATTAAGGAACAGAATAGTTTAAGGGGAAGGTTCATTTCTATATCATAGAATTACACTCTTGAAAGAGGAAGATCTTTAACTCCAAATGCTGGGGAGTTTCAAATGTTACAGGTCTATACATGCATATATCCTTCAAGGATTTCCTAATTTTTCTAACACTGGAATCCTTCATGAAAACAACATTTTACATGAAGTACAACAGCACAGCTAGTATGATTGAAATGGGCACAGAGTTCCCTGCATGCCTGCACGCTTGGTCTCACTTGCTCTGCTGCAGCTTGTCGGCCTTGCACAATTTCACACACCCTAGGAATACACATTAGAAACCACCATTCCACCTAGGGAACTGATCTCCACTGCTCCTCTCCATGGTGTGGAGCAAGAAAACTTCAGGCCTCTCTCCCTCACCTGCTGCAAGATTAGAACTGACAAAAGGAAATGAAATGGGGCTGACGTTGTTTCTTTGAAAGGTTAACTCTATGGATAATGGTAATATCAAATATACATACGACGGTACAACATCAGTGAATGACAAAGATATTTTTTAAACTTTCCAAGAACACTTAAAATAATAAAGAACTTTCCTGTTATTCTAGTGTTATCATCACGTTGAGTATTATACTCAACATGTGTCAAATATTATACTTGTGACACTCATTTGAATTTTGCTCTCCTTTTATTTCCCTACTCCTTCCTGTTTGAAGGCATAGAGAAAAGCTTTTGTGTTCCCTAAGCTCCGGGAAAGCTTTGGTGCTAGTCTCCTAAAGACAACTTCTCTTCCCAGGTTTTAATTTTAAAGAGGGCAAGATGTTATGAGTTGAGAACAAAGATAAACACTTGGCCTTTAACAGGTCAAAGAGAAGCAGAAGTGGCAAGAGCCAAGGGTAGGAGGAGATTATCCAAGACTTTGGAAAGGGACCAAAGTCTGTGGGTTTCCCAAGAGATGGAGACCTGCATGTTTTTTCCCTAGTGGCCCCTGTACAGGATGGCTGCACCTGGCGGTGGAGGGGGGGTGTGGCAGGAGCATCCAGAAAAGTGGGATCCCAGGCCCAGAGAGTCCTGCACCAGGCAGGATTCCTGTCCCCAAAGTGCTACAAAAACACCAGTGGCTTGGACAGTCATCCTGGCACCTGGAATGGACTGGAAACCAGGGAAGTCTTTCCTGAATGCTCTTTCTGCATAAGACCCTTTATGTGGTCCTTCCGGAAGATGGTAGAAAACCCCAGGGATGACTGAGAATTAACTTCCCACCTCTCAAGATGGGACTTGAAACAGCCTTGATTTGATTTACAGCAAACAAAATAGACATTTCTTGCACACTCAAGTTTGAAACAAAATCTATCTCTTTACCCACAGGAAGACTAAGTGATTTCAGAAAAACACCATCTCAGAAGTGACACCAATATGTCACTTTTTATTACCTCAATACCCTCTGTTAGTTCCCCTGCCAGATCTCTTTGTAAGAAAATCATACTTTGCTGGCACAATCTCCTAACTGCACAAAGAGAACCACATTAGTCAAGGTTGCTTAGTGATGATCACGTAACTAAATTCTATTACTGGATGAAGAATGTTGTAAATAATGATTAAAAGTAAGTGTTCATGAATGGGTAGAAAACGAGAGGGGAAAAAAAAGGTAAACCGTGTTATTGAGACCAGGTAACACATCTTACTGGTAAACTTGATAATGTCAGCTTTCACAGTGAACTCACATAGGGAATTTTGAACTTACATATTTTAGATAATAATAAACCTTGACAGGCTTAGTGTTGTCAGATTTAGACATTTAAAAAGCCAAGAAAAAAAAATTAAGCCAAAGATCTTCTTCAGTGACAATTACCCAAGTGTCACGATACTGCACATGCCCACACCCTCAGAATTGGGGGGTACGATTTGTAAAAGCGTATTAAATACTACTTTTTATGTTCATATGAAAATGCCTATCTTTAAAAAGCTAGCTCAGGAAATAAAGGTCAGTACAATCTTCTTGGCTGGAGGGAATATGCAAAAGAGACTCTTCACCAGCTGGGGTTTGTAGAAGTGACTGGAGTGTGGGGGAAAGATTTTCCCATCAGGAAGGGTATGGGCTCCTGAGCTTGAGAAGAAGCAATGGAGGTTTCATCTGACACTGGGAATCTCTAAGCTTAGGGGCAGATCCTGCAGCCTGAAGGTAGCTACCTTTTTTTTTTTTTTTTTAATCACTATATTGGTGATTTCAAAAAGTAGCTACTTGTGGTAACAAAGGGCAGAGAAGCACTGAAGGAAGAAAACTGACAGGCAGTGGGAGAAAGGTGGGGGATGGGGACACAGCCACTTGGACTAGTTTGTGCCGGAAGCCAGTTGCTGCTGTTATGATGAAATATTTTTAACTGTCTACCAAAGGAATTTTTGAGAAGCACCACCTATCTCTAAGCTCACAATTAGAGACAACAGAAGACCAGAATCTACTGCCAAAATATTAGCCTGTATTTGGAAGGTCTATAGTTCACAAATATATTTCATATGGTCGCTCTCTCTGGTGTCCGTTAATTTAAATATCAAAGAATGTTCCTTATTTAGTTCAAGGGAAGCGCTTCCTCGATCTGGAACTAATTTCGGGAACTGCAAATTAGGCAACTTTGTGCAGTATACAATAGGAATCAGAAGACATGCATTCTGGGCCCAGCCTATCCATTAATTAGCTGTATGCCTAGGTACGTTTGCAAAATCATGAGTTTCAACTAAATTGAGACTGTTTGCAGGATTTCTGTAAGCCAGGGGCCTCCCAGGAGGTAGTGCCAGGAGAGGTACAGAAGGGCCCTGGGAAAGATGGACCAGCTGAGGGTCCCAAGATCTGCTCCAGTCAGAGCGGCCCTGCTCTCGTCTCTTCTGTGTAATAGGATTCTCCCTAAGACATCTGAGAACAACATGTCCTCAAAGAAACACAAACAACAACAAGACACTGAATTTAGGATCTGGAGTCTTCTTTTCTGAGTGTCTAAACATTTTAACTAGAATTCATGTCCTGTTTTCCCATCAAGCCAGTGTGGCATGTAGGGTCTACCTTTAGCCCCTTCCACAGAAACCTGCATAGTTTATGAAAAGTACTACAAATTCTTCGTTTTCGCAGTGGCCTCCATAAAGTTCCACGGTAGCTAAAATATTTCTGAAATTGATTTCCTTGGTCTTGTTTCTATGTTACCAAAATGAAAAACATACAAGAGGAAATACAGATATGTAATTAGTGGGTTAATTAAAATGTATTTTACAAGCATATCTTGGAGATCTTTATTTTAACCTGACATTTAGAATTATGTGTTAGAGGTAATTTTCCTTTTCTTAATGGATTCAAATTGTTTGGAATAAAACCAGAGTCTGAGGAAAATTTTAAACTTTAAGAATTAAAAAGTCTAGTTACTATGTGATTGGATTAGCAGGTTTTTCTACAGAAAGTGGATTTTCCCCCTGGCTTGGAGATGTGATTTACGCTCTCTCTGCTGCTAAACACATACATGATTGGTTGGATGTCCAAGATGCTGCTTTTATCCTCCAACTATGTTTTCCTTTTATTAGCTTTATTTTCCATGGTGTCATGGTGGACTCTGCCAGAAGCAGTGAACACAAGCCTCCAATAAGACAGCTGATGCTTCCCCCCTTCTCTCTCTCTCTCTCTTTTTTTTTTTTTTTTTTTTTTTTACAAATACTAGAAATGCATAGGGAAAGAGAAGATGCAAGAGATTAATTGTATTGGAAATAGAGTTTCTGTTTCAAAACAAGTATTAAAAGCAAGGATTATAGTCAGTCATTTGGTCATTTGCAAGCTTCAAGGCCAAATTTCTAACTGAATTCAGTGCACATTAATCTGTATTAATATGCTTGCAGTGCTTCTCCAGGACATTGGCATAAACAGGTAGACACAATGTACCATCAGTTTTGAGAATAAATGGAATAAATAGAAATTCTACTTTTTGGGTACTATTTTTTGAGGTCGCAAGTGAAAAATCAAGACTTCGCTCTGTTCTCTGATCACAACTACCGTTCTTTCTCCACTAACTGGCATCATCTCGCTTCTCAATCCAAGCACGCCGGAAAGGGAAGGACGCAGGCAGTGGCACCCTGGATGGGAAACGAGGCCAGGTAGCTCCTTACACGTTCACTTGATAATGATTTGAACTTCCTAAGTTATTTTACATATCCTTTCCTATGTGTATTGTATAATTTTTTTAAAAGATTTTATTTATTTATTTGACAGCCAGAGATCACAAGTAGGCAGAGAGGCAGGCAGAGAGAGAGCAAGAGAAGAGGAAACAGGCTCCCTGCGGAGCAGAAAGCCGGATGCGGGACTTGATCCCAGGATCCTGAGATCATGACCTGAGCCGAAGGCAGAGGCCTAACCCACTGAGCCACCCAGGTGCCTCTGTATTGTATAATTTTAAAAAACTAAGTCTCTTGGAAATCTCATAGCAAAATAACAAAATACTGGATTGGACGAGATCAACCATTCTGGGGCTTTAGACTTGAGAGGGATACCAATTTTTCTGTTGGCAAATGCCAGTATATAACCAAATTCTCTGCATTAAAAGATAAACAGTAAACAAAATTAGCCTTAAAATTTACCCAAAAAAGCACCACAGCTAAGGTAAAGGCAACATTATCCTTCAGAGTCTGGTGAACTACACACCTCAAAAAGTTATTAGAGGAAAAAATTTTCAGCAAGCATCTGCTTTTGTCCTTGACAGCATGCAATCAAAGTTGATCTTTGAAAGAAGAGCAGACAGCCGTTGTGGGGGAGGGGA